GTAAACTCACTTCTTACTCCTGAGCCCGCACTATTAAACATTAGTGTATTCTGTGTCATGAAAATTCTACAGAAAAGGAAGTCAGCAAGCTCCAGCCACAGGTCAAATGTGACCCCACACCTACTTTTGTAAATAAAGTTATATTCCATCACACCCTTGCTTATCTGTTTAGTCTTTGTCTCTGGCTGCCTTCATGCTACCATAGCAGCACTGAACAGTTGCATCAGAAATTCAGGGCCCATAGATTTAAATGCTTCTAATCTGTCCCTTTACAGGAAAAGTGAACCAGCCTCTGCTTCAGACCACAAGCAGTTCTTTCCCAGTCAGGTTTATTTGACCCATCATTCTATCATTCTGAACATAGCCATTGTCCAGATCTCAGAAAAAAATAAATCAAATAATTCCAGCCTTCTGTATAGTGTTAGAGAGATTTTTAAAATGTGTACCTACTCTTTAGAAACTTATAAAGACATCTTAGTAAATCCTCTAACATAACTGAGATAGCATTCTCTGCCCTTGTTATCCAAAAAGAGGAAATGATAACTGAAGTTCTGAGTTCGCTTCACTGAGGAATATGGACTCTGGAGACAGTCCTTTCAAGGTCATAGCACATCCTGGCCCTGCCACCTCCTGACATCAAGCCCTTGTGTATCATCGAAGCTCCATGTGCTCTAGTAACTCCATCTGAAAAAATTATGACTGTGCTTAAATCTATTTAATAAGAGTACTCTAATGACTAAATAATTGATTCCTGTAAAATATTGGTTACCACTCCTTCAGCTTCTTCAAAAGACTGATTTAGAAATAAACACAATTATAAAAGCTGAAGCCTGAATATGATGGGGAAATGTTCAGTGAATTAATCACCTAAAGAATTGACATATATCAAATACTCTTCTACATGTATTATGTAGAAATGTCTATGGGGAAAAGTTGAATAAAACATCAATTCCTTCTGACAACTTAATATACAGTGGAAAACATAATATAACAATAAGAAAAGAAATTAAATATGATCAGTGCAACATATAGTTCATATTGCCAAAAGCTCTTGTGAATGGTTTAGGACAGTTAACACTCATCGAGTTTCTCTAGTGTCTACAGAATCTTAGCTGTAAAGGGTAGGTCTTCTAGTTCAAGACTATTAGATATTGTGGTATTGCTCATTTTCCAGATGAGTTCTTTAACTTGGATTTAACAATAACTAAATGACGTAAGCACATACAAGGAAAGATAGCATATAAAATCTCTTTAAAATGAGTTATTGGTATTTGTAAAGCACTTACAAATAAAAATTATGAAAATATGTATGTATCAGCAGTAACTAAAATCATCAGCCATAGAACCAGACCATCCTAGACTCAAAGTCAACTTCCATCCATTTCCAACTGTGAGACTAAGCAGCATACACCCTCTTTGGGACTGTTTACATGGGATCAAAAGAGTAACACAAACAACACCAGCATCAGCCACTCTGTCATATATCTGACTTGCATTTATTAAGTAGATATCATGTGCCACACACTGCTAAGGTTGAACATATATTGAACAAAACAAGCAGAAACTCCTCTTTTGTGAGGTTTCCTTACAGTTGTACGAATTAAGCATTTAGTACAAAGTGTGGGAGTTTTAAGGGAGTTTGATATCATTGCCATTGATGATGATGATGATAATGATGATGATGATGATGATGATAATGATGAAAAGAGTGGGGAATGGTGCTTTACTTCTGTTTGGGGGAAGTATTCCTAGTTCTTGGGCTCAAAATTATTGAACTTGGATTTTCACCTCTTGATTCAGATCAAACTTGTTCAATGAATAATTAAAACATGTCCTTACTGATTATTCGTTACTTCCAATTATGCTTAAATATTTCTATTCTTTTAAAGATCTACTCATGGATGAATTAAAATGTTATAATCTTTACAGAATAGAATATCAGTGCTTGACTGAAGCGTTCACATATTTATCAGAAAACATATTATACATATGCATATTTCATGCATACTTACATGTATACACAGAGTATATATATATGCATGTACATATATATATATATATATATTTCATGCACATATACATTTGAACAAATATACAGAAACAGCCCCTTATGCATGATTTTGCCTTCCATGACATAGTTATACAAGGTCAGCTATGATCCAAAAATCTTAAACAGAAAAATTCAGAATCAAACAATATGACATATAAAATGCATAGATTATATGTGTGTAATGCAACAGAAACTTGTGCTAGACTGCCCCATCCTGGCTGGAAGGGGGAGTACCTCTCTTGCCAACAAGTACACTCTGTGTGCACTGCCTTCTCCTTAGTCACTTTGTGATAGGATTCACCAGAGTCATGATATCAAAGTGCTTGTTACTAAATAAGCGTTTTAGAAAGCTTTATAATGGTCCTAAGTGCAAAAGTCCTTGACAAGTCAGATGTGTCCCAGAAAAACCATGAAGTACCCACATTAGGTGAAAAGGTGGACATTCTTGGCTTTTTAAGAGAAGCCCAAAATTGCTAAAACTAAATAAAAACATAAGAAGTTGCCAAAATCCAGGGCAAGAGCAAATCTGTTCATAAAATTGTGCCAAAAAAAATACATTTGTGCCAGTATAGCTGCCAGACGTCCGGCTTCAAAAGTGGTGGTCCTAGTGCATGGGAAGCGCTGAGTGGAAATGGAAAAGACAATCATTTGTGAGTAGAAGCCATGAGCCGAAAATGTGTTATATGTTTCTGTCACATCACTAGTTATTGCTGTAATCACTTACGGCACCTAATTTCTAAATTTAACTTTATCACAAATTATATGTATGTAGGAAAACTAAAATGGTGCCAAGGATAGAGAGTTCAGTGCTATAGGTGTTTTTGGGGTTTTTTTTGGTTTTTTTTTTTTTTTTCTTTTTTGATCCACTGGGTAGAGTGACTTAGATTGTGTCCCTTGCAGATAAATGAGGACTACTATGCATGTGTGAGTGTGTGAATACACACACACACACACACACACACACACACACACACACACACACACACGCATATGCAATATGCACACAAACAGACATAGAATGGTAGAATTTGTTACCATGTGACCAGGAAGCATCAATGTGAAAGGACTGAGGCGAGCCAGAGAGGACATTTCCAAACGGCTTTGCTTTTATTGAGTTTCTGTTTATTCCTGCCCTCTGCCTTCTACAAATAGCTCCCCTCACAAAAGTCATTTTGGAAACTTATCTCTCAAAGTTAGTAAAGACATCAATGATTTTAGTTATCTTCACTTAAAGAGGATCATTTATCATCTAGTCAAGTGTGCCCGTGTCTGCCAGGAAAGCTATGAGCCAACATACATCATACTCGGTAGCTCCAAGGATTTGCTATGCCTTTCAGTGTGCGTTTGAATACAGAATTCGTTTCAATCTGACATTTTTACCTCTCATCATATTTTTCTTCTAATTAAGTTCCCTAAATGCATCCTTTAGCTGTTTGAGCTGTAATAAATTTCTTTCATGAATTGGCCTTCTGAAAGTCAAAACCAACATTGTGCTGAACTGAAATATGAATAATTTTCCTTCCGTTGTCTTTACTTTGAGCAGTAAAATACTGAAAAATGGTAAGTGAAGCAGTTTCACTAGATCTGGAATCTCGAGCATGGTGAATGCATGTTGTTGAACTCTGACACCAGACTACTTCAGTTCATAATCTGGAGGTTTAACAGTATTGATGAAGGAATAGATAATGAGGATATAATTTTTGTCATGAAAGACCTGGAGTAATAGATCAGAGACATAATTTCTTGAGTAATTGATTCCCTAAAGTCCCTATTCCAGAACAAAATAGCAAGGCCATTCAGAGACTAGAGAAATGGCTATGCAGTATTATTTCTTAATCGTGTTTTGTTTCATTGTACTGTCTAGGTAAGTAAGCATGTTCTATGTTGGAACTGAAATAACCAAGCAAAAATTTTACATTTGTTAATATTGAAGTTGGTATTTTAGTAGGTACTTAAACACAAGACTCATTTGCATCCATTGAATCATAAGGCATAGATGAGACTCTGTGTAAATAAGATTAAAGCATTGCCATAGACAAAATATCAGGCATTAGCTTGGTAGACTCAATTTTGCAATAATTTGGCTCCTATATTTAATAGTCACAGTGATGGGGTCCAGTTCAGATAATAGTGTTCAATGTGTTAATCATTAATTTTATATTCTTTTTTCTCATTTCCCTTTAGGCCTTTATAAAGTGGGAATTGCTTTATACATCTTGAATTCATTACTATAATTTGTATACTAGGCATTGACTGAAACTAGTTTAAGTAGCATGGTAGCAGAGTTGAACTCCTTATCACTGTGAAGTTAGGGGGCCACTGAGTTAATGCTTCAATCATATTTATTATGAAACTATAATAATGTGGTTATGATTCATTACCTTTTTTCAAGATAATACCTGTTTTAAGACAGACTGTACTCTGAAAATGTTTTTTTTTTCCTTGTATTCAGAGCTTTATTAGGAGGAAAAGGTGGGGGGTAGGGAGAGGAGAGCCAGGCCTGAAGAGGAAAGCATGTGTGGAGAGAGGGAAAGATGGCGGGGGAAGAGACAGAGCAGAACAGAGAGAGAGCAGAGCTTTCTTTTTTTTTGTAATAAATTTTTTATTGTTACAATATCCTAACACAAAAATGCCAGTGGTGCCTTTCCCCTCCAAAAGAAAAACCAGCTATTGTTTTAAACCCAGAATTATGCATGCAAGATCACCCCAAACAACTACTTAATTTCATAAATGAGGAATCTGAGATCCAGTGAGTTGATTAGATTGATGATGCTGAGAGAGGTATTAGGGTTAGAACTGGAATATAGAGTCAGTTTTTGAGACTTCTGGGTAAAGACTCTATGAGCCTGCCTTGCTAAAATGGAGTAATAATTGATGTTTCTTTATTCACGTTGGGAAACTGCTTACTTTCATTCATCCACAATGCCCTTTTCTCTCTCTCTGTGTGCAGTATCGTCATGCACCCCTGCAAGGACATTCTGGTCTCCTGCAGTGAGGATCGCCTCTGGAAGATGGTGGGCCTCCCAAAGGGCAATGTGCTTCTTACAGGATCTGGCCACACTGACTGGTTGTCAGACTGCTGCTTCCACCCCAGGTCAGTGCACACAATTCCTATACAGCCCGATTCCATTCGGGAAGGTGACTAATCTGCTGCCATACTCTATAGCTTTGAAAGAACAGCTGTTTATTTTCTCTGAAATTTTACACCCTCCTCACAATGTAGAATGATGTAGATAAATGTGCCTTTGGATTTCCTTATATTAACTGTAGGTTTGTTGCCTTTCATATTGATACATGTGAAACTCAGTCCACAGGCTGACACAGTTAGCAAGAGTATCAGGCTTTCCAGGACAGGCACTGTTAATGCTGCTTATGTGCACCAGCTCTGAGAGGACACATGGGACTCTAGTCAATAATGCATGCCAGCGTTTGTTGTGTCTCCGTTAATCTGCAGGTTTTCCTTTTGGAATTAAATTATCTACCTTGAAGGACCAGAAGGCCATGATCAATTTCCGTTAAAATCCAATGGCATTCAACATATTACAGAGAATAAACAGATCTGAATACACTTCAGAATTCACTGACACTGTGTCTCCAGAAGACTCAGAGAGTGATAGGAAGGGTTCTGTTCAGCACACAGGCAGCACAAAAGTCTGTCTATGCCTCCTTATTAACAACTTCTGCCAACAAGGCTGACTACTTTCCTCTATTCATTCTTATTTTTAACAGTTATTGAATACTCTTATTTCTGCACCTTCCTACTTGGGCCTAATCACTTTTGGTTCTTGGGTTCATTTCTAAACTCTTCCAGTTGGAGTTCTTTTCTTAGGAAGCTCCCTCGTTGAGTCATTTTCACGTTTCACCACGTTCCTTTTGCAGTAACCGTTTTTGAAATTAGATTGAAAAATAAATAAGCTTATTCAGAAATCTGAAAAGGCAATGACAAGACTGAGTAGGGTTTTTTTTTTTCTTTTTAGTAATTTTTGAAAGCTTCCCAATGTTTAATTCATCCTTGCTACTATATGCTTGAACTTAATTTACGAACATGTCCTACATCTCTCATCTGATCAACAGAGCCCCGCCACCCCTCACCCCTGAGAAGCACAGAGCCCATCTTGTAAGGAGAGACAACACAATTAGAAGTGTGGCCTATCACTTCAGTAGCTCCTAGGCATACTGATCAGATTTTGATAATGCCCTGTTACCATGACAGCCAGTGACTCAGATGTTTTCTCATTAGTGCCTGACCAGCAATGGTCCTTTTAATAGATCTTTCTGTTTCCTCAGTCAATTACTGAAATTAAAATGAGGTTAGATACATCATTATTCACTTTTAATAGGGATTTACATTCAGTTCTTTCTTATGGCAGGGGAATTGTGAATGCTGCTGTACTGTTTTGCTACAGTGCCTCAGATGGAAACAAGGAGGGAAATACGTTGTTAAGTGAGGGATTTAAATGGCAAATGTTCTTCTGCTATACTTGAAGACACAATTAGTAAAAACAACCATCAAAACTATTTTTTAAACTTTCTTGGGGTGGAGATAAATTCTGAAAGAGTTTATCGTTCAGACCTCAAACATTTTATAGTACTTAATATTTGTAGATCATCACTAGAGATTGTATTCATATAAAATGTGTACGTAGAAAGCTATAGAGAATCATGATTTCTGAAATTTAAGTCAATTTAAATTTGTGACATTTGAGTTTTCACTTTTGCCTGTTTAAGTTAGTCTATGAAAACAACTTATGGTTGAAGATACTATTTCTTCTGTCTTTGTATATGTTTTAAACTTGACTTGTTGAGAATAAAAAAGCGTTCAGTGGGAAGGATGGTGGGGCAAAGATGATGGAAAGCTGTTACATATATGTATGAAATGATCAACCAAAAAATTTTAAAAGTGGAAAATGTCAAACTTTAAAAAAAAATTCATTTTACCCATTATATTTTAATCTAACTTGATCCAGTGGAATCAATCATAGGTAAGTAATGTAATCATAGTCTCCCTCAGCTCAAACTATGATCGAGTTTTCTTCCTTAGACAACACTGTGGGCGAAGATAAAATGTGTTAGCATTGGCTCACCTCCTGTTCTAGTCATATAAAAATGAGCTCGTAAATTTCTTGTCAATTTGCATTGCTCATTTTGGGTGGCTTCTATAACTTTGAGTAGGATACATTCTCAGTCAAATTCAGAGCTACTTTAAAAAAACCATATTTACAGGATGAACCATTTTTTCTAAAACATATTCACCACTAAAGCCATTTGAACTGGAAAAAAAAAAACAGTATTTTTATTAATTCTTCAAATTTTTCATACAATGTGTTTTGATGATCTTCAACCCCATTCTTTCCCTTAACTTCTCCTAGATCCATCTCTACCTCCCCAACCCTTCCCAATTTCAACTTCCTGATGTCTTTTTAAAAATTAACCCACAGAGTCTAGTTTTTCCTACCCATATAATCCTAAGTGTCGGGCTGTCCACTGGAGTGTGATGACCCTACCAGGGGCTGCACCCTTAAGGAAAACTGACTTTTCCACAGCAGCCATCAACTGTCAATATCTTCTCAGTTAGGGGTGGAGGCACATGAACCCCTCCTACTTTTGTGCTAGAATGTTGACTGGCTTGATTGCCTGCAGGTCTTGTGTATGCAACTATGGCTGCTGTGCATTCATGAGTACAGCTGTCCTGTCACATCCAGAAGACACCATTCCACTCTGGTCCCCCCTGACCTCTGGTTCTTATAATCATTTTATTCTCTTTACCATGATGGTGCATGAGCCTTGGGGATAGAGAGTTGGATAAAATTGTTCCATTGGTGACTGGACAATCTACCAACACTTAGTCTTTGCACTTGGATCAATTGTTATTTTCCTTGTTAACAAACATTGACTGCACAAGGAAACTTATCTAGTGAGGTCTGAGAGATATATTAACTTATAGTATAAAGATATTAATTTGAAGAACACTTTGATATGGTGTTCTATATGGTGTTTTATCCATTTAGCAGGATAAAAGTAGCAGGTTTACCCACTGGACCTGTGAGTTTTCAACTATGTGTTCTTGGCCAGATTTACAGTACCAAGCATGCATATCATCATATGGAGTGGGCCTTAAATCCAATCAGAAAACAGTTGGTTACTCCATAACGTTTGTGCCACTGTTGTATATGTGGGCATCTCTTGTCACACTGGTCGTTATTACAGTTTACAACATTTGCGGCTGGGTAATACTGCTGAAGATTTTCCCCTCCAACAAACTTCATAGTTTCCAACGAAGAGGAAGCTTCCTGGTCAGAACTGTGTCCCATTGCCAAAGTGTGTGGCATCTTCAGAAATAGGGTCTTATTGCCAAGTTCTTGTGGACAACTAAGAGCTGTAGCAAGAGCTACTTTTCTTCACATACACTGACTTAACTAAAAAAATAAAAAAAAAAAAAATTGAGAAGCTGGGCTGGAGAGATGGGTCAGCCGTTAAGAATGCTTACTGGTCTTCCAGAGGCCCCAAGTTTGGTTCCCAGCACCCATGTCATGTGGCTCATAACCGCCTGTAACTCCTGCTTTAGGGGATCCAATGACCTCTTCTGACCTCCAGTGGTACATACATACATGACATACAAAGACACAGACACAGACATAAACATACATATAAAAAAAGTAAAATTTAAAACATTTTAGAGGTCAATCCTACTTGATATGAAAGTAGTACACCTGACTAGCCAAAGTTGGTCATTGTTTCCTGTTCCCATTTTGCCAGCAAACATCTCAAATACATAAACAGTATAACAGTTATCACAATGTTAGCACTGGACAAAGGAGGGTTACAGGTAATAAAAGAAATCCAATGCCTCTTGAAGTCTCGGGTAATATAGTAAAAGAAAATATATAGGAAAGAGAAGACTTTACAAAAAATGGGAAAATTCAGAGTCATTGGACTCAAATATTTAAGCCTTGAGAAAGATCTAGCCTATGAAGTAATCCAAATTACACTGAAAATAGAAGAGTATTAAATGTATTCAATGGATACTAGATTCTCCTTCCACTTTATTAATGGACCACACAGAAAGCTTTAGGTCATTCATGTTTTTTTTTTTACTTAAAATTTTAACTTTTTGATAATTTGATACGTGAGTGCTGTATTCACACCCTTTCCATTCTTCCTTCTTCCCTCCAACTCCTCCTGTGCCCCGTTACTCCCTCTCAAATTTATGATCTCTTATATGTAATTATTATTGTTATATATGTGTGTGTGATCTTCAAGAGTACATGTGTTTAGGATTGACCCCTTTGTATTGAGTAACCTAGCAGGGAGCTCACTTGTAGAGAAAACAGATTCCCCATCTCTGAGCAGCCATTGATTGACTGTAGGGATTGACATCTGACTGATTGAAATCCAGGGATGGGACTTTTATTTCCCCGCCTCCATGTTAGCATGTCACCTGGTGTCATTATACCAGTGATATTCATGAAACCATATTGTTAAGATTTCAAAGGACTGGCTATACTGAAACAAAATAAAAACCATCACAGGAGTAAAAATACCGCAAACTAACTCAGCAGACAGACGGGTGAGGAAGTTGAGACAATTTGTCACTCATATTGCAGATGAAAGTCTCACGCTCCTCCTAAGTAAGATTGCATCTGTCATGCAAACAACAAAAACACAGAAAAAAATAATGGAAGTCTTCAGTGTGGTACAAACAACCAACTGTACAAAACAACCAACTTCCCGTGTTTTTAAAGTTTTCTTTATTTTTGAGAATTTTATACCTGTATATAATTAAATATATTCAAACCTGTCTCCTCTCCTCGTATCCCTGAAACATACCCACCTTCTAATTTCAAATCTTTTTTTTTTATTTTTGTAAACTCACCAAGTCCAGTTATAACTCTGCCTGTTTGTACATGGGCATGAGCATGGAAATCCTACCAATTGTCATACACGCAATAAAGAAGGGTTGTCTCTCCCCTGGCTACTATCAACTGCCAATATTTCCTCCGTAATGAGTTGGGATTTTGGTTGGCTTGATCTTGTGTAGATCGTGTGCAGGTGAGCACAGCCTCTGTAGACCGTGATTGTGAGAGCCATGCCATG